TATGATAATTGGAAAATGTTCTCATAATGGTGTAAACCAATGAATGGTCACTGAGATGTGGTTCAAAAACTCCAGACGATAGAAACCTTCTCCTGTTACTAGTGAGGATTACACCGCGATTTGTTACAACAAAATCACGAAGTCAAAGACAAAAAAATAACGAAAGATGTTGACTTATCTCTCATAAGTTTCATGTACTAGATCAAATAACCTTAATGAAGTACGTCTTCGATATGGAGTTTCTAATGTAGACCCTATCGTAATTTCTGTACAACTTAACAATTCCCAACAATTTCATAATCTAATTTAACATAACTAAGTTCTAAAAGAAGTAACTATACCATACTTTTTCGCTTTAAGAGGAAAGTGAGGGCTTTACCGCTAATTTTTCGTAACTCTTAGTACTCAAAACAAGCTAATTTTAGACAATATATATTTGTGACTAAGTTTAAATACGGTTGATGTCATATAATCGCTGAACACTGACATGTATACGTATTACTCAGTGTTCGTATGCATGACGTCATTCTTTGAAAATTGATCATTACATTTCTCATACACACACCGCCATCCCCTCCCCCTGTAAAACTGAGGACACAACTAAGATTTCATGGATCCATATATTTTTATTCTGGCCAGTGGTCTGGTTTTAATGAAAGTGGTCTGGTTTTAAAAAAGGAAAACACTTTCTCTAATCCTCCCCTTTTTACAAGGAGGAAAATGGTTCTGACGGAAAAAAGTGGTTTGCTTAAAACTGGGTTTAAAACTGGACCAGCTGTACTTAACTGGGCCTGGTTGTACAAAGGGCGGACAGTACTATCAAAGGGATAAATCCTTATCCAGTGGATAAGTCCATGCTGTTATCCAATAAATTTATCCACTGGAAAAGATTTATCCATCGGATTGCGCTATCCACCCTTCATACAACCAGGCCCTGAAGGATACAGCCCTGTATTATTCTATCATCTTTTTTTTGACAATCTGATGAGGTCACATGTTGGCCCATCCTGCTACCTTAATTAATTTCCTTATACACCATACACTGGAACCTTGTTTCAGGTTTGGGCTGCCTACATTTTACAATAACTTTCAAAGTAATTGCTAGCCTGGGTTCCAGAGGGATTTTTTTCGCAGGCCATGAAAGCATGCGGCTTTGACGCTCACTTTTGCAGCTTCGCTGCTCTCAGTAAATCTGCTAAAAAAATCCCTCTGGGCCCCAGGGTGAGTAAGTATTAATTGATTAAAAACGATTCTGGGTCTGTGTATTCATGGTGAGGGGTGGATCGAGGATGGCCAAAGCAGCCCTTCCCTGACCCTTTTGTGAGGATTTTCGAGAGGGATTCTTTTTAAAAATGTTGCCTTTGTTCTACCCTAAGTTTTGTCTATTATAATATTTTATTCTAACTCACCTCACCCTTTCATAATTTCCTGGATGTAATAAAATAAAACAAGAATGGTATTTAATAGTAGCATTTCCATGGATTGACTCTTCATCCACTGAATTCCAATTGGAATTTAGTTGATTTTTTTTGCAGAGGGAGGAAAATCGGGAAACCTGCTTAGGAACAACTAACATACAACCCCAAGCCCAGCGGGAATCAAACCCAGGTCGCATTGACGTGAGGCGGGCACTCTCACTGCTATGTCACCCCTGATTCCATGTGACATTAAATATAGAGATAGAGGGATTGCGGAGAAAAGAAGTGAAATTTCAGAAAAGCAAACAAATTTTAGTCTCACTTCCTCATGCATTACAATTCTCACTATTCATTAAATGACAGGAACTGACAAGACGACAGACAGGACCCTAGTAACAATACAGGATACTCTGCGAGACCACTACAAGAACGTGATTGGATGGCTGCAGCCACTTACATGGAATAGCACATTCAGAATTCACATCAAACAGATTTTCACTAATCTAGAGTTAATAAAACACAACCAACATGGGGCCCATGGCAATAGACAACCCATGTCCAGCTATGAAGACATGTTCCAACCCAAAATCAAAAGGATCCTAATTGAGGGTAAAGCAGGTGTTGGGAAGAGCACACTTGCCTCGGAAATGGTCTATGACTGGGCAACTCAAGTAAATAACTCTAGTTTCAAGTTGGTATTTCTGATTGAACTAAGACAGGTCAATAAGGGAATCAAGGAAGCTATGTTTGATCTGATGTTCCCACGAGACTTTGAGGTTACCCCTGACCAACTGTACGATTATGTCACTCATCATCAGGATGAAGTTCTCTTTATCCTGGATGGGTATGATGAGATCAACCCATCTCTGATCCCTGACCTCCATGATCTTATRATGGGAAAATTTTTGAAGAATTCCACTGTAGTGGTGACTACAAGACCAGAAAAGGGCTCCAAATTACACTGGTATGTGGACATCAGGGTTGAGGTGACAGGCTTTACTGCAGAAAACATGTATCAGTTCATTCATAGATACTTCAAAGAAGATACAGTGAGTGCAGAATCCTTGATCAGTGACCTCGAGATGAACCCCGTTGCTGAGAATATCGCTCGGCTTCCTTTAACTGCCTTACTGATCTGTGCTATGTGGGAGGAGATGCCTCATGTCCAGGTGCTGTCAACAATGACTGGACTGTTTGTGGAGTTAACTCTGTGTTTAGTCAAGCGATATTATTCCAAAGAAAAGAAGGAAAATGAGTGCGACCCTGAAGATATCAGTACACTGGAAGACATCCCACCAAATCTCTACCAAAGCTTTCTCACCCTTGGGGAAATTGCCATCAATGGGCTGCTTGAAGACCAGGTTATTTTTGACCGCAAGTTACTGGAAGACAAGTGTGGTAGTCGGGAAATATTTGAGTTGGGTTTTTTAAGTCTGGAAAGAAGCGCTTCAAGGCTTCGACCAAAACAACTCTGTCGGTTCTTGCATCGTTCGTATCAAGAGTTCTTGGCTTCGTTGTGGTTGAGCGACCGAATCAAGAAATCGTTTTTTGACCCCATCATTTACGAGGAGACCGTGGTGCATGTCATGAAGTGTGTGACTGCTGAGTTGATGACAGTTCTGTTCTCATTCACTCCTGGTCTTTTGGGTAACGCCTTTGAGAAGTTTTTTGAGATTCTCATCTCTGAGGGCGGTCAGAATGCAATAGAGGAAGACATGAAACAGTTGTTCTTTTTAGTTTGTGTGCAAGCTTTATACGAATCACAGCAAGGTAGTCTCGCCCCCATGCTTGATCAGAGTGTAGTTAAAGGAACTATAAAGCTCAAGACAACGGAGCCAACTCCTTATGGAATACGCTCACTCGCATACTTCATGCAGAACAGTCTAGATGTTCACACTCTTATTTTTGAAGACAGCTTCCTGTCCAAAAGAAATCTAGCTACGCTTGCAAGAAGTTTGTTTGACATAAAAAATCTTAAACAACTTCATTTAATTAACAGCTTTGCCACTAGTGATGCCATGAAAGTGTTCACAGATAATCTCAGTGAAAGGCTTCCCCTGGAAAAACTACTCGTATCAAGATCTAAGCTGCTCGTCAAAGACCTTCCCGAGGTAGTGCACTGTTGCTCCAAGCTACACGACATTGAGATGAATTACAACGAGCTGTCGGAAGAGAATTTCGGGAGTTTGCTTCAGGCCTTGAAGGCTGTTCCATACCTGACAAGAATTTGTATATCTAGAGAAAAGATTTATCATGGGAATGTGCCATACTTGTGCTCCTTGTTGAGAGGTAATTCTCACCTCACTCATCTAGAACTGAACAAGTGCGTCTTCTACAGCATCGATGATGTTGTTTTAATCTTGAATTCTCTGCAACATGTTTTCAGTAAGTTGACTTGTTTGAYTTTGAGTGGGGCGATAGTCGGAAACAAGCGCAAAGTCGACCTAGAAAGAGAGCCCATTTACAATGTCCTTGCAGAGGTACTACCAAGTTTTGAAAGTTTGACTCATCTGGATTTATCGAGAAACGAACTCACTAAATGGACTGATCTTCAACAGTGTCTAGGAGATTTAACACTGCTACGCTTCCTCAACATATCCGGTAACCGTATAGCAGACACCGGTGTGGCAAAACTTGCTAATGTCTTATGCAACCTCCGTCAGTTAGAGGAGTTGCACTTAGCTTGGAATGAGATCACTTGTGAAGGTGCAGTGTCGTTGGCGGCAAACCTTAAATTCTCGACAAACTTAACTGTCTTGTCACTGAAGTCCAACAAGATTTCTGATAAGGGAGCCAGTGAGGTGTTCGAAGCTCTGTCTAGCATTTCCTCCATCAGGGAGATTTTATTCGATAACAATTTGATATCAACAGTCGCCATCATCTCTCTGCTACAGCACTCGGTCAACATGAGGAACCTGGAGTGTCTCAACTTCAAGCAAAACCTGTTGGACGAGTTAGGAGTTTTGACGCTGGTTGAAACTTTGGGTTCCTTGCCGAAGCTCAAACAGATTCTGATTGGGTGTCCTGTAGTTCGCAATGACTCAGTGAATGAGGATGAAGCAATGGCTTCTGCATCTCGAGTAGAAAACCCACCAGCTACTAATCTGAAGGAAGCAGAATCGCCAGGTTTGTAAGGCAGTTTTCTTGGGTACATTCATAGTGTATATAAATGAAGATTCAAACAATGTTTGCTTTCACAAAACGTTTCAGAGAAAGTGAACCTGGTGCATTGTGGTCTAGCTTGGGTACAAAAATAGTTTGTTCACTGTGCCGCATATGGTGTTGTTTGTACCCAAACTAGACCAAAATGCATCCTTATTGGACCCGGAAAGGCCAGTGACACAGAAGAAAATAAAACCGTGTGCCTGGGAAACGAATACTGACAACCCGAAAACTTAGCATTACTGGATGAACAAAAATGTAGTAATCAATCAGTAAAGCTGAGCACCTTCTACTTGTTTTATCTTAGAACGGAGCCATTAAACCTGTGAAGAAGGGCGGATCCAGCCAAAATTTTAGGGGGGGGGGGGCTAATTGAGTTTCTTCCGTCAACACAACGGAAAACGAAGCATCTAATTCTTCGGTTTTGTTTGTTTTTCTGATGAAGGGGGGTATTCTTTTGTGTCTATTTGACTATTACACGTTGACTAACATTTCTTTATTTCACGGGTTAAATGCCTTCACTTTATCCAGACATGTCGTAATATATATTCCAGATATTTCATTGATACTTTGCCATTTATGTTTAGATGACAGCTTTACGGAAAACAAGAAAGAACCTCGTGGGGCGCACGACATGTACTGCTACAAAACACTATCGAGTGACGTGTTTCTCTGTCTAATGCATGCGGCACACTCACATCCCTCCCTGGAAGAGATTTAGTAAGTACCCACATATACTATCGAATGACGTGTTCATCTGTCTGATGCATGCTGCACACTCACATCCCTCCCTGGAAGACATTTAGTAAGTACCGACACATACTCAGTCGAATGGCGTGTTCATCTGTCTGATGCATGCGGCATATCCCTCCTTATTCCCAGATTATTCTGACCTGTATTTGTGTTGTCTGCTTTATTTTACAGCTTGAGCATGAATGCAGTACCAAAAAACGTTGATGCAGAAGATTTCCCCAGGCTAAGGCTGTGGGCTCATTATGAGGGATGATCTCTTCGTGCTTACTGAAGACCAAGTTTATGCGTCTATAATACACACGAAGAGTCCGACTCCACTGTACGAGCTGTTCCTCTGCTGGTCAGACTGGATGGTAGCTCAAAGATTACAGCATCCATAAACAATACATTGATCAAAGATCACATTAATGTAAGATATCATAGGCCTTTTCTAAGTTCGATAAACAGGACTCATTCTGGTCTAGCTTCGGTACAAACAACACCATATAAAGCATGATGGACAAAAAATGTTCGTACCGAAGCTGGACCACCATGCACCATGTTCGCTATCTCAGGTATTACAGAGTATTACAGGTTAAAACAAATGCACTAAATACCCAGTATGACGTCAGTCAAAATCATAAATGAAGAAATATTTCATTCAACTATTCACTTCATGTAGATTCAATATTATCGGGCTTTAGGTACACTTTAAACCATGCTTAGATGGTGGCCAAACTAGCTGCATATTGCATCCACCAAAAATTATATTGTTAAGATCACCGGACTCTGTGACATTTAATCAACCTCAACGATAAGACTGATATAGTTATCCTCAGTATGTGTGGAGAAAAGCTATATCTCAGCCATAAAGCAAACTGGAACAAAATCCAAGCGCGATTCCGTATCTGTACGTTGTTGGTCAAAATGAACTATTTTTTGTCACCCCTTTCATTGCTCTCTCTCTCTCGTCAAAACGGAATATTTTTCATCGCCACTAAATCTTAAGAAATATTTGTTAAATGTTTTCCAGGAATATTTCGTGCGCCAGTAAATGATTGATTTGTTGCTGTGTGTCCGTCAAATACAAAAATTTCACTCAAAACACGCCATACTGAATTCATCGATGCMATTTTTTATTAGGACCATATTTGGAAATTTGCAAACACGAAAATAACTTTTTCATAATATTTTTTATAACATTTCTATACTACTTATAAATAGAATATAGCAAAATAAGTGGGAAGCGTTAAATGGTCTGAACAAATTCAAAGACAGAAAATGTGACTGTAAAATGGTTTTCTTCGATCTGAATCTGTCAAAAGAGAAAAAATGCTCCCTATCCAATCACCAAGCTTGAAGCCAAAAAGCAAACAAAAAACAAACAAACAAAAAAAAGAATTTCCGCAATATATTCACACTATGAACTAATAAAGGGTGGGTAATTTCCTTTCCCGACAACCACATTTAATTTCGCTAAATAACTCTTATAATGTGGAGTCTTATAATTCCAATGCAATAAAATTAGATTTAAAAAGTTAGATTCAATAAAATAAAATAAATGCCATGAAAAAATAAAATAAAATCTGCTTCAGAATGCTATTAATAGTTGTCCAAGGTGTTTAAAAAGGTCTCTATCATTGCAAGCTCGCCGTTCGCCTCGTCGCGATGCCAAGGCACGGTTACCTTTCAAGATGGCGCAGGGGACTAGTGATGAATGGTTTGTGTTGTAACCACTGAGTTAGCATACAAAAGCGGTCAATTAAATACCCTTGTTTACCCAAAGCCCCATCCTTGATCATTAGCTCTTACTGATACTGATTGTATCACGACACACCTCTCACGGCATTATCCTTGTTTACTACCATTTTCATAATTACGCGACCGAGACAACAAGCTGTAAGGGACGGACCATTAGATAATTGAGGTGGAGGGGGGTGGGGGGTCCGTAAATCCCCAAAAAATATCGAGCAAGCACTTCACCTACGAAAAAAGTTTTGCGCAAACTCGTGCAACACAAATTCCTGGACCAGTCAAAAACCCAGACGACTTGAATGATAACTCTGTCTGGGTCACGTAATAGCAGATATTGCTTTCAAACAATTGTCATAAGTCGAGGCATTTGGGTCAATACAATAAAAAGTAAAGAAACTGTTTGAAGGCATTTGCTATTATGAATATGGTAAAAATAGCATGGCTCCACCCACATGACGTCAGTCCCTTGCCATTAGCTCTGATTTCGATAACATTAGGAGTATATGGTCACAACCTCGTACCCTCCACCCCTAACCATTAATACTCGATCCAGTCCTTCTGTGAGGACATCCAAAAATTCCATATCTGTGAACACAAACAGTTAAAGAAATTTGGTATTGAATTAGCTCATCTACTGACAGGGTGCATAGCGCTGTGACAATTCAAACCCTCCCATTGTATTAGATTAAATCATCCAGTCACGACACAGATACTGCTCTGGTGAGATACAGTAACACTACATTACAGCTAGAATTTGCCTTATCTTTCTTGACMCACTCATACAAAAATTGATGCGTGGTGACTGCGTATTCTATATGGAGGAATACTAAGTTCAGTACCGTGCCGTGCCATTTGCTATGACTTTGCGTAATCAAGTGACGAATGCCTTTACACGCACAAACCCTAGTAACGAAAACTCGGTCAGGAAAAACGACGGAAATTTGGCATCTGCAGGACTCGAAAATTGTTTTCCTTGTTAGGCTAATAAATTCACTAGCGTTTGACTATTCGAGTTTTTCTCTGGAAATTCCTTTCAAAATTCCTTGTTTAACATACTATATATATAAAAATAATGAGGAGTAAAGGATACAGTTTTCCCACTCTTCCTTGTTGTCAGGGGGGGCTGGTAGATTGACGACCAGCAGCTGAGACCCACCAGACTTCTCCCTGATGATCTGATTCAGCTTGACTGCGGTATTCATGCGACGCAGATTCCTCTCTTGGCTAAGAGAACAACAACAATCTGTATATGTATATGCCCCTTACAAGTAAATGGAACTCATGTTGGAAGATAAAACATCATATAACAAAAATCCCATTCAGTTGTGACCTTTCGTTGATTGAATCCACATTACCCATAGAGCATTTTGAGCTTGGTCTTTTTTGAAATATCTATAAATAAAGTGAGAACTTTTAACTTACGGTTCTGAATCTTCTTCTTCATTATCATCATCATCAGCTTCAACCTCTTCGTCCTCCCTTGACGGACGGCGGGTTAAGCCCTCTACTGCATAATCCCTTTGAGTAACACTAGATTCGTTTCTGCTTCGAGGCCTAAAATTCAATCAGCAAATATTAGTATAGCAGTATTGTAGAAAGGAAAAAACCTTAGGATGTTTAGGTACCAGACAGACGGGGAATTTGTTGCGAAGGATAATTGTATGCACAAAATAAAATTACAATCCTTGCCCACTTTTGTAACTGTTGCGCGAAACTTTGCCAGCAGCCTGCAACATTGCGCGAAAAGAGATTTCATCGTGTGAAAACGTCTGCAACATTATTACCAAGGCGTTATGTTGTCAGCCATGGAAATGCGACACTCCTTCGTGTAATATCTCTCGAGAACTCTGTTACCATCAACGTTAAGCACGAATTATTACCAATGGCGTTATGTTGTCAGCTGTGGAAATGCGAAGTTATGTCGTGTAATATTCCTCGAGAACTCTGTTACCAGCAACATTGTACGCAACAGTTGCATCTTATGTTCAAGCATTTGAATGCATATTACAACCTCATGTAATGGACCATTGTTCATCACATTATGGTGGATCACTTAAGACTGACTGAGTTTTTAAGAGATGTGACTAAAAAACAATATCAGGGAATCGACGGAAGGTGGGTAGAGCAAATGACATGAGTTGCAAATAAGTTGCAACTTAACATAGACACTGCCCTATTTTAAACGTATCTAGTGTGAACGAAAGATTGTCTAAGTTGAAAGTGTGACAAGTTTGTGATAATTTCAGAGCAGACCGCGTGTTTTCTATACCGGGTGTACTCAATGATAATGATAATGATTTATATCGCGCCCTTTCTGTATGGATATAATCAAAGGCGCTCACAATCATTACGTCTAGATAAGCCTGTAAACATACCCCTCATTAACACTTGCTGAGCGTGTAGCTTTGCTGTATGAGGTAGAACGAGGTCGGAAAGAGTTGACGACCAAATTCTGAACCTCGCGTTTGCTTTCTTTCCTGGTCAGCTTCATTTCCTTGAGCATTTGTGTTCTTTGTTCCATCTTGAGGGTTCGCTCGTAGGTGTAAGCAGAGATATCTTGATCAACCTGAACATAAACCATCATTAAAACGTACTTAAAGACAAATACATCTTCTACATATAACGTATTTTCTCTGTTACCCCCCCCCCCCCCCCCCCCCCTGGGAGCTTTTCAGTGTTTTTGGACTGGGGGCTTATTAGAAGGCTAGGGGGTTTATTAGAGGCTGAGGTTTAATACATTTTCCTGATCTCTTGAAATTCATCATTATTCCAATTCATAACCTCGACAGGTGAAAAGACTTTCAAAGGTCTGTAAAAGGACCACAAACTTCCTTATTGACTTATTGACTCTCAGTTTCCCTGTACTCGGCATCACGCGGGTTTTTCCCCGGGTTTCTCTGGCTTTTGCCCTACCGCAAAACCCACACAACATGCTACAACTGATCCACTTCGATCTGTGGGATATCAATGCCCTGTTTAAGATCAACCTAGACGTTGTTTCAACCCGATAAAATTGAAGGACTTGGTGGAACGCGTTCCGTGTATTAGTTAGCCCCACAACTTTGCCTAACATACACTAGCGCAGGGAGGGGGGAACGGGGGGCATGTACCCCCCTCCCCCCCAAAAAAATGTTGATCTCGGCACCAAAATTTAATTGCGGGATCCCTATTGATTTGGCGGGGAAATAGTGTAGTACATGCCTCCCATAATCGAGACCTCGCTACGCCCTTTGCTTACATACTTACCATTTCAATGACCTCTACAGTGGCTTTGATCCTTAGGTGGTACATAAAGGTCTCGAGATCAGTCTTCATCTGGATACTGTTGTCTTCAAGCTCTATTAGCAAAGTGTCAAGAAATATCTAACACAGCGAAAGTCTATTTTWAAAAAAACCATCCCTAACAGACGTGCCGTGATATTGATTTGGGGAAGGTTTCAATAGACTATAAAAAAACACGATGACTCTCAGTGACGCTGATGACTTCAAAGCGTCTGTTTAATCAAATCACAAAGCTTGAGCTAGGCGCCCACAGCTATAGATAAGGAGAAACGTAGACGGAAGGCACGGCACTTAGCACCATCACGACACAGCATGGCACACAGCACCATCACGRCACGGCATGGCATACAGCACCATCACGACACGGCACGGCACACAGCACCATCACGACACGGCATGGCATATTTCTATTGCGTTGACATTTTATGCACCACCAACACGACAATTAAGGTTTTCCTATAACTTTTCACTATCAAAAAAGACGCCATGTAGGTATTAAAGCGTTCTCCAAAACAGCCCCACGATGCGTTGCGCAACTCCGGAAAGACCAACGGATTACATATTTTCGTCTTTGATCACTTGATCTTCCAATCATCAAAGGATAATTGAGATTTGAGATTTGCGCTATACAAATTCAATAAATTATTATTGATTATTAATTATTAGGATACGCGCCACGGTGAAGATCCTTAGTTTACATTTCCTCCAGACCTTATGCTGTCTGAGTAGGAATAGAATGAGTATCATCATGCCACCATCATGCACGATCCACCACACGTCCATGTGGCCTTCCAGTCTGGCATGGTTATCTGGGAACAGGTCGATCTTACGGGGAACTAGTAGAGCTGATTCTCCAAGTGCTACGGTATTGACCGTTTCTGATTGAGATACAAATGATACTAAACATTAATTTTTCTTCATCAACATTGGATACACGACAACAAAACGTCAACAACAACAACAAGAGAACGTCAACAACAACAACAGAACG